AAGGTTTAGATTTAAGGGTTTAAGGGTCTAGATTTTAGGGTTTAGGGTTTAGGTTTAAGAGTTTAGGTTGAAGCGTTTAGGTTTTAGGGTTTAAGGTTTAGGTTTTAGGGTGTAGGTTTTAGGGTTTAAGGTTTAGGTTTTAGGGTTTAGGTTTTAGGTTTCAGGGTTTAAGGTTTAGGTTTTAGGGTTTACGTTTTAGGGTTCAAGGTTTAGATTTAAGGGTTTAAGGGTCTAGATTTTAGGGTTTAGGGTTTAGGTTTAAGAGTTTAGGTTGAAGGGTTTAGGTTTTAGGGTTTAAGGTTTAGGTTTTAGGGTGTAGGTTTTAGGTTTTAGGGTTTAGGTTTAGGGTTTAAGGTTTAGGGTTTAGGTTTTAGGGTTTAGGTTTTAGGGTTTAGGTTTTAGGGTTTAGGTTTTAGGCTTGAGGTTCTAGGGTTCAGGTTTTAGGGTTCAGGTTTTAGGGTTTAAGGTTTAGGGTTTAGGTTTTAGGGTTTAAGGTTTAGGTTTCAGGGTTTAGGCTGTAGGGTATGTCCCGTAGTAAGGTTATAGCTATATGAGCCTTGAAAGAGACTCTCTAAGGGGTTAGATAGGGGACTACTTTAAGGTGGGTATTAAGGGGCAAGCTATAGGAGTTCAGGCTAGAGCTCCTATAGGTATCCCAACATACCCCAAGGGCGGCTCCGAAGTCCTATTCAAGTTGTATTTGTGGGAAGTTTTGCGAGGTCTTGCGAATGACCCTGGTGGTCGGGTTCTGTCAGAGATGGGGTTTCCCAAAATTAGGGGTACCTTTTGAGGGTTCCCATTGTCAGGATGACATGGTATTTGGGGGTCTATATTGAGGTCCCCTATCTTGGGGAACTACCAAATACTTTCAAACTTCCGTCCGCAAGCAACCAGGAAAGGCAACTTTACTCTAATGTCCACCTACTTACTGGTTCTTAGTAGGGAAAGGAGGGAATATAATCCCTACATAATATATTCCCTTGTTCCATAGTGACCCCCAGTAAGCCTAGAGGGTGAAACACCTGGCAGGAAAGCTGCGATGGATGCCATCGAGAAGGACGGGCAAGTGTTTTAAGATCTTCAAGGCTACTCCTTTTTGTATGTCCACCCCTGGCATCATGATGCAACAGTCATGGTCCCATGCTCCTCTCTTGCAGGGCCACCTAAGTATCGCACAGCTAGCAGGTAGCTTGTGACTGTGGATCCCAGCGTCTTGCTGGGAAAGTGTGCCGTCTCGTGCTTTTGAGGAGAAGGGCGGTGGCGAGAAGAAGAAGAAATCGAAAAAGAAGAAGGCTGACGGCGGCAACATGATCTGACCTCATTACCGCGGGGGTCGCACAAGTTCTATGTATCTACTCGTCGCATATACCCTATTCCGAGTGCCTACCACTCAATCCAGCAGACATCCCTTCATCATCCTCTTAACCACCACGCAGATCAAGGCTGTTCGTTCGCTGGCACGTCCTTTCGGTACCCGCACTCATTTGCAAAGCAGAACCTGAGCCACATTCTTTTCTCACAGTGAGATGCAACGAGTTGTTCCATGTTGTCATGTTTGAGACAGGTTGACCAGAGCTTTTTGAACCTCATGTGGGTCAGCATGATAGCCATAAATGACTTGTCCAAACGAAATCTGTCAGATTTGCGCAATGGCGCGGGTCAAACTCGAAGACTCTAAGCATGTCGATTGCATTGATTGAGGCTGATAAAGTGTCCTGATCTACGTGTCATTTGCAAAGTGAACAACTCGGCATTCCTGGAGGCATCCCCAACTCACCAACTCGAGGCATCTGGCACATCGGCTCAGCTTGGAACCCATCTTGGAACCCTAAGCCCTGTAACGCAAGCCCGGGGTGCAGCTGGGCTTTAAGGCCTGCAGCCAGAGCTGTGAACCAAATGAGCTGTAGTTTAAAGTCTTTAAAGTGGGCTATATAAAGAGTTACTATATAGGGGACTACTATCGGGGTTACTAAGGGGGATACTAGGAGTTTAGACGATGGCTCATATGCAGAGAATGAGAAGTAGAAGTAGTAGTAGCGCCAAGGGTCTCTCAAGTCCTATGAATTCCGGTGATTCCGAGACCCAAGTGATGCCAGATTTCCTCCATCAACCGTAGCAACGGCAGCAGCAGTAGTTGTAGCAATCTTGAACAGAACGGCAAGGTGCACGCTGCGGACCCTAAACCCAGAAATGTTGCAGCTCGTGTTTGTCAGGCAAAGAAGGAGCTCTGAGGGCCCAGGCAGACCTTTTGAAAGCTGCAGCGCCCAGGTTGGAGTTGTAACCATTTGGGTAGGAGCATGATGCAAAAGACACAAGAGTATAGCTTAAGGGGGCTGAGCGCGTCGGTTTGACTGTGCAAGTCTTGCAGCCAACGCAATGGCTATCAGACACAGACTTTCACCCACTATGTAGGTCAGGGACTTGAGCCCACAGCATGCTCTCGAAGATCATGTCCTTGGACATGTCCCCGCGGAAGAATGAAGATAACCTGCAGCTGCTGCTGTCATTGCGGCGGGTCAGACCACAAGATAGCTCAAGCCAGTGAACCATAATCCAAACTCCTTAAAGGGGCTTATATAGGGGACTACTATAGGGGTTTTTGAGGAGTTTTGACTATAGCTGAGTGGGAAAGCTGAGTGGCTGAGTGCCTTGGTATGAATGCCGCCGCACCTGTGGCTCACCTGCTCCAAGGACTCGAATGCATACAAGTAATCTCTATGGTAACTGTTCCATGTGGCGTTGACCTGCAACCAGCCATCCAGCCCAAAACAAGCTAGAAGTTAGCCCGTTGCTTCTGACGCCATTCATAGTCAGCCGTTTCAGCGGCGAGTGGAGTGTGACGAGATCAGCAGAAAGGACAGTCCCGAATGGATCCGAACGCTTTTTCTCAGCAATCGTATGCTCCAGCCCATTGATGTCTGATGCGCAGGTTTGAGATTTTGACTGGCCTCTGAAGCGCAGAGACGGAACACCTGCTAACCATCACATCCAGCGCCGCTGCTGCTGCCGCGCACCGGCCGCCGCCCCGACAACACCGAGACTGCCGCCGCCACCAAAGAGGGAACATGCCCGCCACCGACCCCCACAGCCGTAGCCACTGCCACCACATCACCACCAACACCGCCCGCCCTCGACGCCGCGGCAACTCTTCCTGCTGGTGCCACTGCGACGACCAGCACCGCTAGCGAGGTCGGGTGTGCCATGGCCAAGCGCTGCACGCTTTTGATGGAGTCGTGGCAGACTGATGAGGGGAATTTTGTGTTTGTACAGAGGTTGATCGACTGGAGTCTCCCAGGCATTGGGCTTCCCCTTTAGGAGTAATCAAAGAGTCCCAAGTTGTTGGTATTCCTCGAGTGTCTCAAATGTTCGTTGAAAAGCTATATGAACTTGCAAAACAAGATCATGTTCCAGGTTCTTCGGTTGGGGGCAGGCGCCTATCTCAAAAGGCATGCCAAGCCTTCCGTAATTATAAACGCTATCGCGCGCCCGCCTCGGCTGGCGGGGCGCAGAGCACACGAATAGGTCATGGCATGTAGTTGACACGTGGGGTTTAGGATCGAGGGAGTAACGGAGGCAAGCCTCACTTCGTGTTTGTTGCATGCCTGATCCAGCATTCATGGAGGGGGTTGGCTGGGCTTAGTCCATCAATCAGCCTTTAGTGAGGGAGTTCGCAAGCTTCGAGAGCCGCAACCGTAGAACCGGCCTGGGCTGCGTTCCAGGGTCGGAAACTGTAAGTCCCCAAGTGCAATTGGCCGCTACTCCCCGAATCCTGAATTTTTCCTGACCATAGAAGAAGGCGACATACACAGAGCCAGAAATCAGACCTGCCACATGGCAGTGGGAGTTGGGGGGGGTCGGGGGGAGGGGGGGAGGGGGGAGGGGGGGAGGGGG